ACATACATACATACATACATACATACATACATACATACATACATACACATGATGGTAAATGGGCTGTACTTATATAGTGCCTTATTTACCTCCACACACACACACATTCATACAGCACTCTACTAGATCTCTACAAAGCTAATCTGAACTTGTAGAGATTAATCAGTGCTTTAGATCACACTGATAGGATACATATTGGAGGCAATCAAGGGTTCAGTGTCTTGCCCAGGGACAATACAACTTTTGACTGCTGGAGGAATCAAACCCCAACTCTCCCATTGGAGAATGACTGCTCTAACCACTCAGCCACAGCTGCCTCATATACATACATAGTACATACATAAATGTTCACTAACTGCTTAATTCCTTGGACAACTACATGAACAGTCATTGCCTGCTCACATGCATTTTGTCCACCTGAATACTGTTCAGGGTTGCTGAGGACTGATGTCTCTCTCCAGCTGTCAGAAGTGAAAACGTCAGGTATACCCTGAACTTATCTCTAATCTGTCACAGAGCCACGTACCATAAATAACCATATTTGCAGACACTCACTTTGGGTCAATTATTAATTGCCAGTTAAACTGACATCAACATTTTTGCACTGGTACAGAAACTGGAGTTTCTTGCAAATGCACAAGAACAGCCTGATGCATGGACAAGAGCAGTCAAACTACATAGAAAAAAAAACAAAAAAAAACAAACACAGCCATTATTTGAATCTCTGAATCTTTTACTGTGCGCTATTGGCTAATCTGCATATTTAAAACTAAAATTTGTGTAAGTTTGGTAAATAAAACATCCTTTGTGTTGGTACTGAAAAGTTAAACAGTTGTTTTCTTTTTCTTGTTTTCCTAAAAATCTCCATGTTGTTTACTATGTTGACATTGGAATACAATTCAATTGAATCTCACTGTCTATTCATGATTTTTCATATCTTTTCAATCTTTCAGATATATCAGTAAGTCTACTGTCACTGGTGGTGACAGCCTGTGGCTTGGCTCTATTTGGAGTTTCCCTTTTTGTCTCTTGGAAACTCTGCTGGATACCATGGAGGGAACGAGGGCTTTCCCCCACCACAAAGGAGGCTCATGGGCACATCAACCCCACAATGAGCCCTCTGTCCTCACAGCCTGCACCCAAACAGCCAGTTTACGCAGCTGTGGACCCCCCAGTACACAACCGACGCAAATCATCACACTGTTCAATCACCAAAGAGCCCACACCTGTGGCGTCCATTGTGTCAGTGGAGGCTCCAATGACTCCTGTATCACCCCCACCTGTCGTCCTGGCCACACCAGAGGCAGCTATGAAGATAAGCCACACATCTCCAGATATACCATTAGATGCCCAAAGTAAAAGTCGTGAAAATGGGGTTCACACCAACCCTCGTATGCAGAGGCAGACCACTGAACCAGCACCAGGTGGTTGCTCAATGTCTGAAATGGGGTTAGTATGAGCTATACTTATTTGTTTCTGTTTGACTATCTCATACATATTACAATTTTTTTTTAAAATGTTTATCATACATTTTCTCTATTAGAAAATGTGACAATTGCATAATAACATTCACAACATTTAGATTTCACAGTACAAATGTATTTTTTGTCTTTTTTCTTTGTCCACAGTCAGGGGTCTATTCGCCGACATATGAACCTCTCAAACCCAGACTTTAACGTGGCACAGTTTCAAAGGCAGGATTCTCTGACTGGAATGGGCTTGGGCCTAGGCCGCCTCAAACCAGAGCTCTACAAGCAACGCTCTCTTGAGGGCAATGATGGCAGTCACAGAGGTGGGGGCTGTGGGCGCCTCCATTTTATTCTCAAATTTGACTGCGACTTGGAACAATTAATAGTTAAAATCCACAAAGCTGAGGACCTCCCAGCCAAGGACTTCTCTGGTACTTCAGACCCATATGTTAAGATCTATTTGCTGCCTGATCGTAAGATCAAGCATCAGACCAAGGTGCATCGCAAGACGCTCAATCCTATATTTGATGAGGTCTTCCTGTTTCCTGTGTCATACTCTGAGCTTCCCACTCGCAAGTTACACTTCAGTGTATACGACTTTGACCGCTTTTCTCGTCATGATATAATTGGACAAGTGGTGGTGGACAACTTTCTAGATCTGGCAGATTTCCCCAGGGAGACTAAACTCTGCAGAGAAATCCAGTATGTCTCCTCGGTAAGTCAGTACTGCTGGTTACATTTATCTCAAACAGTTGCTCTGACATTTTTAAATGAAATTGTTTTACATAGACAAAAATAGATTTAGCACAGTTCAGAGTTTTTAAGTTGTTGCCATTCTTTTACATGCATTCCTTGGCATTTATTGTTCATTAGAATTCCCTGTGGTGTAGATAAGTGGTATGGACTCGAGAGACTCCAGAGAAGGCATGAATTGTCATTGTTCACATGACTACCATGAGGAAAACCTAGAAAAGAGTAGTTGTTACAAAACTGTAGAAGTGTACATTTAGGTAGCTTTTAGATATAGACAATTTTATTTTTAATGACCCTAGTAGTTCCTTCACAGATGGTTGCATTTTTTTAAAGGACAGTGATGTTTTATTGTTTATAGCATTTATAGCATCTGCAAATTAATTTTTAAAATATTCTGTGTGCATCTCACTGTCATCACTCTAATTTGTGAACAGATTTGAGTTAAAACATATATCAAATATTCTTCCCTCTAATAGCACACACGATTATTTGTATTTCTCAGACTCTTCCTCCACTCACCAGACATTTATCTCATGGGCTTTACTCATCACATCTACTGTTAGGCTTTTTTTTTTTTTTTTTTTAATTGACCCCTTGCTTGGCTCTGCATATTGTACATGCTGTCTTTGGATGGAAAAGCCTGTTTGACATATTTGTCACAGCATGACAAAGATCAGGGTTTTGGGGTTCTTCAGTGCTATGGTTGAAATTACAAATTGTAACTGTCCTGATGCATGCTCAATAATCCATGTAGATACATGTAACAAGGTTGAGTCAGGTCCTCTGGACAGATTTTTCTGACTGATGATAACTCTTTAGTTGTTTTGTTGGCAGATTGAGACTCTCTTCTGTAAGGTATATGTTTGCCCTAATGGTCAAATATGTGTAAATATGAATTTTACATAGTTTTTGCTGTGTATAGTTTTCTTTTTCATGCATGATACATTAGTAATCGTAAAAATGGGCTAAACTACTAGTCACTAAATTATCAGCAAAACTTTTTATTTTATTTTATTTGTTCTTTTGTTCTTTTTTATTTCTTTCTGCCACTTATAAATTATTAGAAAACAAACTCAGTAATAAAAAAGTCCATGCTCAACAATCCAGGTATAAAATCCAACATTTTTCAGTCAGGTCATCTGGACAGTTTCTTTTTTGTGCTGAAACGTTTCGCCTTCGATCCGGAAGGCTACATCAGTCAAGGAAACACACAACAAAACTGATTCTTCCTCCAACAGCTTACTCCAAAGTGGAACAAACCAGTTCTGCTTGTGATTAGATGGTCTCTTTGGTACGCCCCTCTTCCATTGCCGGCCCTCTTCCTTGTTGACAGTCTTGTCAAACTGGTTGAAAACAACAAAGTCCATGCTCAATAATCCAGGTATAAAATCCAACATTTTTCAGTCAGGTCATCTGGACATACCTGGTATACCACAGCCATCAGGTGAAAAGGAGGAACCCAGACCTAGACCAGTGGTCATTCCATATTTTGCGGGAGTACCAGAGAAACTGAGATATTTATTTTCTAAATACAACGTCCCAGCGGCTTTTAAACCCCAAAATGCATTACAGCAAAGACTGGTTCATCCCAAAGATCCAGTCCTCCGGCACAAACAGAGTAATATTGTGTATGCTGTTCAGTGTCAGGAGGGCTGTGATCAGTCTTACATCGGGGAAACTAAACAGCCACTGGCCAAAAGGATGGCCCAGCACAGAAGATCAACATCATCAGGCCAGGACTCTGCGGTCTACACTCATCTGCAGGCCAGCGGTCACTCTTTCAGGGATGAAGATGTTCACATCCTTGATAGAGAGGAAAGATGGTTTGAGAGAGAAGTAAAGGAGGCCATCTTTGTGCAAAGAAACCATCCATCATTAAACAGGGGTGGAGGCCTCCATGTTCAACTGTCCCCCTCTTACAATGCTGTTATTGCTAGTATCACTCAGCCCCCTGTGGATAGTAAACAGCCATCAGTGTGCTAATGATCCATCGTTAGGCTGATGGTCCTTCTTGATGATGTGAGCAGCTGATTTTGGTTGTCAGCAGCAAACTGGTTGATCCACCACAAGAGGGCGTTATTTATAAGACTGAGCTGAATACAGCACCTCACGCTGAGGAAGTCTTTCGGATGAAAGTTTTTTTTTCATTTATCCTTTATTTATCCAGGTAGTCTCATTGAGTCACGAGAACTCATTTTCAAGAGAGCCCTGTACTCATTTTCAAGAGAGCCCTGTTTAGGGAGCAAATGGCGGGGGTTAAGAGCCTTGCTCAGGGGCCCAGAGTGGGGTGAATGAGGGTGGAGGCAGGTGTGGGTGTTTCACCTTTTCTACCCACATTTTAATGTTGACGGTACCGGGAGTTGAACCTGCAACTTTCCGATCACTTGCCTATCTTCTAACCTCTGCACCACCACTCCCCCAGATGAAAAGTTTCTACAATTTTTTTTTTTTTTTGGAATGTCCAGAGGACCAGATTAAACTTTTTTAGATGATCACAGACAGTTAAAACAATAACAGTTTTCAGCAATTATATGTGACCATTATCGGGATTTCAACTGTTCAACTCGCTGGTATTCATTTTTTAAATGACATCAAACCTGAATTCTGTAAAAAAAAAAAAAAAAGTTTATTTGATCAATAATCTGTTTGACTGTTGCAACTTGGTGCAGGCTTCTTTCTAAGTGAAGCTGGCCTGGTGTTTTTATTCCTGTTAGTTTTAGAGTTGTACAGCTTCTTAATGGAAGCTAAATTGAACAATTGTTACTCTTTTTAAAATGTGATTGTTGGGTTTCTCTAGTTATTGTCATTTTGCATTTTTTGTTTTGATTTAACATTTGATCCTTAAGTTTGTTGCACATATTGGTTGTCTCCAATTCTCAACTTTTACTTTTGAATTAGATTAGATTTGATCAGTTGTGAGGAAACTATTTAATGTTGTGTTCAGGCCACTTCCAATGTCTTCTACCCCCAACATTACTTATTGTTACCACCCACTTCAGCTCCAGCAGACTCTTTACTTACCTCCAGTTCCAGTTATATATATATATATATATATATATATATATATATATATATATATATAATGTATATATGTATTCTACTAATCCTGACAACATCTAACAAAAAATGGTGCTGCTTTGTAAACAGGATTGTGCAGTCATTGAAAGAAGCAACTTCCAACATAAAAGTTTGTGGTGTGAAAACAGACATGTAGCTTGGATTCAGCAATTTAATTACACACATCAAACACACTGACCTTTCTGCAGGAGTAAAGGCACTTTGAAACACATCCATGCTGACACTGCAAATATTTTTGCTGGTTTGTTGCTTCCCTATAACTGCAAGACAAACAACTGATGAAAGTAATGTATAGTGCAATACTGATCATTAAAAAACAGGATTTATTAAAAATTAAGACAAGATAAGAACATTAGGAAACATTTTTTAGTTTTACCATGCAGAAGTTGCTTAGCAAAAAAAAAGACATGTAAGTAGTTATTCTGTCAACGTGTCAGATAGAGACTTCAGCGAAATATTGACAACAGTATTGACATTTTTGTGCAAACTCTCAGCTTATGGCGGTTTTGTGGATCAATACTGACACTTCTGCCCTTGATTAATTGTTAATCAATGTTACCCTTTTAGAGCCGAATGCTTTGAGAAAGCTCCATGATGAGAAACAGTGATTCGCAGAATGTTTCATTTTTGCACATTTTTTAAACACATCTCAAACACACATACAGAACACAGACGGCGTGTTTGTTTGAGTTAGAGACTGAACGACTTGCTTGATGCTTTGCATCAGAAAGAATCTTCTAAAAAAAAAAATCTAATTCTTGACCAGTAGTACAAAATAATATATTTTTTTATCCACTGCAGCAGAGGGTAAAAAAAACATAGATTTTTTAATGGAATCCAGATTGCCAGAAGGACAGACCATATTGCCTGTTTTGTTGCCTGATTTGGCACGTTTAGCTCTGCAGAAGAACCAGATTGTACATTGATGGAGTAACATGTGTTATATGTCATACTACACAAATGTTATAGCCACTACAAACATGAGCCATACAGTATAACACAGCTGATAAGGGTTTAATTCAATTCACTTCAGTTTATATAGTTTATATAGTGCCAAGTCACAACAGGGCACTGTACAAAAACATTCACATTCATTATAAAAGCCAATTAGTAAAACTTACTTATCTAAGGAAGCTAGCAGATTGTGTTGAATCTTCACTTCGTCAAAGATAAAAAATAATTACAAATACAAACAGGTAGAGTAGAGCAAATAAAGATGGCAGCAAAGTGAGGAAATGTGGTCAGTTTGTTCTCCAGCAGTCTGAGCTTGTACAGTAGCAGCATAACTAAGGGCTAGCTCAGGAAATCCAAGTTGACCCTAACTATAAGATTTATCAAAAAGGAAAGACTTAAACCTAATCTTAAATGTATACAATAAGGTGTCAGACTCATGGACAGAAACTGGAAGTTGGTTCTACAAGACAGGAGCCTGATAATTAAAAGCTCTGCCTCCCATTCTACTTTTGAAACTCAAGGAACCACAAGTAAACCTGCAGCGTAAGAGTGCTCTGTTAGGAAAAAAATGGAACTGTAAGATCTGTAATATAAGATAGAGCTAGGTTGTTGAGAGCTTTGTATGTTAGAAGTAAGATTTTGAATTCTATTCTGAATTTGACAGCGAGCCAATGATGAGAAGTTAAAACTGGAGAGACATGATCTCTCCTACCATCTCTCATGGTTTACTAATTAGTAATTCTAAATTGTCCCTAGATGAGAGAGTGAATGGTTGTTTGTCTTGTTTGTCTTTATGTGTCCCTGTGATGGACTTGTGACCTGTCCAGGGTGTGCCCTGCCTTTCACACAGTGACTGTTGGATATGGGGACCAGTGACCCTTGTGACCTAAAAGGAAGAAGCGGGTAAAGATAATGGATGGATGGATGTATGGAACACTGGATATGTGTGGCATATTAAGACTCAGATGTGGAATATAAGCTACAGCAAATATGTTCCTTTTTACTTTGTATTCTGTGTACATCTGGATGTTGCATTTTGGGTGAAATGAAGCTTGTAAAGCATCCAGTTTCTTTTTGAGATGGAGTTCATCCATTTAAAGGCTTATCAATTAATCCAAAACTCATGTAACAAGTACCTAGACCTAGTGGTATTCAAAATCTTGATAATAAAAGACATGTTACGTTACAAGACCTAGATCCTAAAGACAAAAAAAACCATCTTCTCTCCCTCACACTTTTCTTTCAAATCCCAGACAAATTGGTGATTAACATTTTTGCACTTCACAAAACTATTTACACAGTAAGTGTATTTTTAACATTGATCTGCTACAAATGTGTAAAATGGCAATTTTCCTCAGCCAAAAGACTCCAGTTCACTCCCACTTCACACAGTAACACTATCAGAAACATGCAAAGTAAAAAAAAAAAAGAAAAAAAGTCAACTATTTTTTTATGTCAACAGCAAACTGGTTGATCCACTAGGAGACAGTGCTGTTTATACGACTGAGTTTGTTGCAGGTGCATTTGGTGCATCTGCACACATTTCTTAAACATTGACCTTACACAAGCCTCCCCACCATCACAGACATCTACACCTCCAGATGCAGGAAAAGGGCCACCTGCATCATGAAGGACCCCACTCATCCATCACACACACATTTTGCCCCGCTCCCCTCAGGAAGAAGGTTAAGGAGCATTAAGTTTAGGACCACTAGACTGAGCAACAGCTTCTACCCTGAAGATGTTAGACTCATGAATCCCTAAATAGGATTTTCACTGTGAAAAAACTATCACTGTAATGTAACTTTTATTGAAAATATGTGCTGCTGATTATTTCATGCTTCTGTAATCATTCATTCGTACTCATCCACCCTCAAAGACTCATGATTGTGGTGATGTTGTTCGGTGTATTGTTTTGCATTATTTGTGACTAGCATATTTTTTAGCGTACCATTTGGCTTTCATTTGGCATATATCCTTAATTGGTTTCATCCATCCATTATCTTTTACCTGCTTCTTCCATTTTTGGGTCACAGGGGTCGCCGATGCCCATGTCCAGCAATCACTGTGCGAGGGGTGGGGAACACCCTGGACAAGTCGCAAGTCCATCACAGGGACACATAGAGACAAACAACCATTCACTCTTTCACTCACACCTAGGGACAATTTAGAGTTACCAATCAGCCTAACATGCATGTTTTTGGTTTGTGGGAGGAAACAGGAGTAACCGGAGAAAACCCACGCATGCATGGAGAGAACATGCAAATTCCACCCAGAAAGGCCCCCAGACTGGGATTTGAACCAGGGACCTGCTCAGTGAAAGGCAGCAGCTCTACCAGTTGTGCCACCGTGCTGCCGTAATTGGTTTCAGTTAGGAGAAAAAGGGTTTAATTCTGAGTGGATTGACAAGCTAGCAGCTATAATAACTCCAATGTCTAAATGACTTAAGAAGTTTATGTGAATGCTTTTCAGAACTATTAAACACATTTCTTACTGGTTGCTTGTGTAAATTTTTATTTTATGTCCAGCACTTCTGGGTTGCCTGGGGCACTTCTGGCAGGAATCTAACAATGATGTGAGCTCAACTGCTCACACCAATATCTTGTCGGTCCAGTCAGAACTTATCTCTCTTTCTCCAACTTGAGGTTGTTCAACGATATATTTATAGCAGATAGAATGTAGCATTTCCATAGAAATTCACTTCAGAAAATGTTAAATTATACATAACTCTTACCAGAGATGCCAGTCACATTTATGATTATACAATTAGCACAAACATCCACTTGCTCTCATAATTTAGATTTGTTTGGATTCAGTATACAAATTTTTTTTTTTACTTTATGCAAAAATGATACCATCCTGGGAAGTCCCAAGGTGGCAAACGGAGTACTTGTACACGTCGTACAAAATGGTTTAACACTGAGGTGATACTGCTAACCACTGAACTATTTTTGCCACACATCTGTGGTGTCTAAAAGTGTAAAAAGGTAACGATTTTATTTTTCACAGTCAAACAGGAACACACATGTCTGCACTTCAGCCAATACATTTCAGCCATTATTGTTTTTTTTTTTGTTGTTGTTTTTTTTAACAACGCCTTTTTATGACAAGCTTATTTCACTTTAAACCAGCCTAGTTTGGAAATATGGATAAAGAAGCATCGCAGTAAAGTCCATGTAATAAAAAATAAAAATAAAATCAACAACAAAAAAAAAAAGCTATATTTTTTTATGTTTAGAAATTCAAAACCTTTAAGAAGTTTACATTCACACATACATATACATGTTCAAATTGGGTTCAAAATATCAACGCATTCTCTCAAACACACCAGTAAGTGAGCAAAGAATTGTCGTATGGAGTTGATTTTATCTCACATGTTCGTGTGCTTTCATGATTCTCACTTCTTTAGCAAAGTTATTTTCAGCATAGGTGATAAAAGAACTGCAGCTGAGCAGAAGTCTCCATGCAGCCTGAAACATGGGACGCTATTATTAAATTCATGTGATATAAGAGAGTTTTTCAGAGTTAAACAATGTCAGTTTTGTAAATCCAAATCAGAAGCTTGTGTTTTTTGCTTGCATATGTCTGGTGTGCGACATGCAGCATATCATCCAGACTAAACTCGTGTAAATGTTTTTGCCTCTTTTTGTAGGATAACGTGGATCTTGGGGATTTGATGTTTTCACTCTGCTACTTGCCAACTGCGGGTAGATTGACCATCACCATGATCCAGGCTCGCAATCTCAAGGCCATGGATATCACTGGTGCATCTGGTAATTCAAATCAGATCCTGTCTGCAACTAGACACACTGGGATTCTGAACACAAATGAACATTTCCCTTCTCTGTTTCTCTCATTTACCGTACACAGATCCGTACGTGAAGGTCTCACTGATGTGTGAGGGTCGTAGACTGAAGAAGAGGAAGACATCGACGAAGAGGAACACTTTGAATCCAGTTTATAATGAGGCCATCGTCTTTGATGTCCTTCCAGAAAACATAGAGCAAATCAGCCTTTTGATAGCTGTGATGGACTATGATCGGTTCGCTTACTTTATTGATGTTACACAGAATTTGCACTATTTCAGCATCCTATATGTAAAATTTGTACTTGACAAAAACATAAACTGTTTCCTAAAGCTTTTGTTTATTTATTTAATAGTTTGATCATTAATTTATCCTTGTTTTTTTGGAGCAGGGCAAGCTAAGATCATATTATTTCTCTCTTTTCCTCCTGCCCCTGTAGGGTGGGCCATAACGAAGTCATCGGTGTGTGTCGAGTCGGCAATGATGCAGACAGCCTTGGTAGAGAACACTGGAGTGAAATGCTCACATATCCTCGAAAACCTGTCGCCCACTGGCATCCTCTTGTTGAGGTAAGGAGACTTTTCTATAATGGATGTGACATGTGTTTCCATGCATGAAAGACTCAACAGGTCTAAACATGAATATGTTTTTGTTTTGTTTTTTTAGCAAAGTGTCTTTGTATGTTTATTATAACAAATAATTGCTAAAGTAAATTTTGTCCAACAGCTGAAGTTAGTCATGAACAAATCAGCAAGACTGCAACTGACCAGCTCAAAACTGAAAAATACAATAATGTCAAAATTCATATCAAATCTGACTGAAATGCTGCAGGAAGAATCTCAGAGACATGTGCATAAAAATACACAGGAACCACAATGAAATAAAGCAAGCTTGTAAAGAAGAGTAATATTTCATATTTCAGATATCAGATGATGATTCAGTTACACAGAAGACGCATCAGATTATTGCTTCTGAAGATGGTTTTACAATATATGAAACGTGGAGTGACTTGTTTCTCCACATACCTTTTCAGCATTTTAGCCTAGTTGTTCCTGAATAAATAATTACACTTTGGAAAATGTTCTTACTCAATATGTTATCCATT